ATCTTCACTGTGCACCTCAGCTTTATCAGCTCCACGTAATTGCTGTTTGCTTCTCTTTAACTGTTTTGAGCCTCACTTTCACTCATTGCACAACTCATTTGCCGGTGTCTTTTCTTCGCTGTTCATCTCGCTGGTAGAAATATTATCTTCACTCTGCATCCTGGTCAGTGAATTCACATTTCCATGCCTCCTCCTTGCCCGCACTGGCAGTGATTTATTCTAGTAAATGGCTAACAATTCTTCTTCTGCAATAACACAGATAGCAAGATTCTACAACAAAGGATCCATTCTTTTGCATTCTACAGATTTTGTTGACTGGCTGCTTCATGGAACTGTTTTATCCTCATAGAATTGCCAATCGAGGTCGACTACGCCATTATCCCCCAAGAGACCGTTCGCTGAGACGGAAGCTATCTTGAAGATAGAAGCACAAACACTCTAGTAGTAGTGTCTCACAACCTATCTCTCTTCGTTTACCTTTGCTTTGAAGAAGCTCCTGGAGCCCAATTTTTTTCGCCGTGATCCTACCCGACAGTTTCGACTCCCCCTTTTCTCCCTCAACAAGGGCCATTTTTAGAACAGATAACCAACGGCGACATATCCAAGCCGCTGTGCAATAAACCTGGTCCTGTGGTCTAGTTTTCACTTTATGACACCTGTCGCCATAATTCTCGTTTCATATAACTTTCCGATAGAGCTAGCAAAACTCTTGAAATATTTTTGTCTCTCCTTTTATTCCTTTTTTTCCCGGTCTCTGGACCGCATGCTCCGGATAGCTGCGTGACAAAGGACCTTTTCACATACTTATTCCACAGCGTGGCCCATTCAATTCTCTAAATACACTCGTTCCTTTTCGATGGCGATCACGGAGGGGTATGATTATCCCCATTCTGGAAATACGAGCTATGTCGTGCAGTACACACGGGGATTACTAGGAGTCAATATCAAACTGGACAACCTCCTCACACAAATACTATGCGGGACTCTGGGAGCAGCATGTGTCGTTGTGTTGGCAGCGAGATTTGGCCAGATGTGGAACGCCTACATGCGTCGAATTACTTCGGCCCATGCATCCCCCAGACAACAACGGTACTGGGCTACCGCGGAGTCGGCACTCTGGGCGGATATCAAAAAACATCTAGTATATGCTCCCTTGGGGAGGAAGCGGCACAATCGAGAATTTAAGCTTTCAGATGCTGTGAACGTGGGGACCCTACCGTCGCGCTTGCATACGATTCTCCTCACCTCGTATATCTTGAGCCAGGTAGCATATATCACCATCCTCGACTATAATGTCAATGAAAGGGCTGCGTTGATTGCAGAGCTGAGGGGCAGATGTGGAGTCCTCGCCGTGCTTAACATGATTCCGCTAGTCATCCTCGCAGGTCGAAATAACCCTCTCATACGAATTCTACACATCAGTTTTGACACCTACAATCTCCTACACCGATGGATAGGGCGGATAGTGATCCTCCATAGCATCATACATACACTCGCATGGACTACAAACGCTGTTACTGCCAGTGGATGGTCAAAAACAATGAATGACTTGACATCTGTACGATTTTTCACAGGAGGCATGCTCGGGACAATAGCCATGGTATTATTGCTACTCCACTCGCCATCCCCGATACGTCATGCCTTCTACGAAACTTTCTTGCACATACATATTCTGTTAGTTTTTCTGGCTATTGGAGGAATTTATATGCATCTTTCTATTGATCAGCTGCCCCAGCTACCATGGTTAAAGTACATTATGGCCTTCTGGATAACGGAGAGATCCCTTCGCTTCCTCCGGCTGATTTACCTGAATATTGCCCACCGCCATGGAATTACTCGGGTCATGGTCGAGGCGCTTCCTGGAGAGGCCAGTCGTGTAACATTCTTTCTCCCACGAAACACCCATATACACCCCGGCAGCCACGTCTACGCTTACCTACCCCGAATCTCCCTCTGGATGTCGCATCCCTTTTCCGTCGCTTGGACAGAGAACGGCAAATACCCCAGGCCACTAGCCAGTTCAAGTAGCCCGTCGCCACAAAAGCTCCCATCTTTTCAAAAACACGAGTCCGACATCGACAACGCTACGAATTACAGTTCAAAACCAACAAACGTCACCCTCGTCATGGCCGCCCGCACGGGGATGACGCGGAAGCTCTACGAGAAGGCCCTGGCTTCACCCGATAACACATTTTTCACCACTGGCTTCATAGAGGGACCCTACAGGTCTTACTCATCCACATTCTTCGGGAGCTACGGCACCGTCGTGCTCTTCTCAGGCGGCGCAGGCATAACCCACCACATGATGCAAGTACGCGAACTGCTAGAACGTGCAGATGCCGGCACCATCGCAACGCGTCGCATCCATCTAATCTGGTCAGTGCGGACAACCGAACAGCTCACGTGGGTGAGCGGGTTCATGGACTATATCCTCCAGCTGCCGAAGAGGCGGGAAATGCTAGTGACGAAGCTCTTTATCAGCAAGCCGCGGAGCCATAAGGACATCAGGAGTCCGAGTGGGACGCTGCTGATGTTCGAGGGCCGGTGTCGACCAGATGTTATCATTGACGAAGCCATGGAGAAACATGTGGGTGCGACGGCGGTATCTGTGTGTGGGCCTGGAGCGTTTGCGGACGAGGTGCGTGCGGCTGTTCGGAAGCGAGTAGGCAGCGGGCCTGTGATTGATTTTGTTGAGGAGGCTTTTACCTGGTGATTCCATCCATTCACATATAACTTGAGGGCGGATCTGGAGAGGACATCCGACAGACACAACATCCATCACATCAACATCCCAAAATACTCTTTGTATTGTGTCCCTTTTACTTGTTTGATAGAGGGCGTTTCTTTTCTCTCTCTTTTCTTCTTTTTTTCAATTTCCATGCTAGGGCACAGGAGCATTAACTGCCTTACTTTTCATTCCTTTTTCCTTTCTCCCGTTCTTTTCCCTCCCTTGTGGACGTTCAATCATGTCATTATCCATCGTTCCCCAGAAGGTTTCCATGTAATGCGCACATATTGCTTGATGGCTTTCGAAGGTAATTAAACCTCCTTTGACCTTCAATCCTCTCTCTTATTACCCTAGACAAATTCCCGCCAACATTTCGTCCACTCAACTAGCCAGCACCTTGTATGCAACCATCTCATCAATTTTCTTTTCTTTTCGATTTCGATTTCCTTTTTTTTTTTTTTTTTTTTTTTTTTTTTCATGCTTCCAAGGTTTCTCTTCCATTTCCATTTCCATTTCCCCATCTCTTCTCTTCAAATATTTCATTTCTGGCTATTTCCTTTAATTTTCTTTTGCCCTTTTTCTTCCCTATTTGGTGGGCCATATTTTACTGACACCTCCGTGCTGAACATACGTCGATTCCTCCTCTCTACCAACTCTTCCGCGAGGTTTTCTCGCCCGCCCCGCCT